TTAAAGATCTCTAATTTCTCCAGATATTTCATTGTATGTAAATTTGTCGTTGGTTTAATAATTTCCGCCCGATCCCAATGGACTTGGATGTCGTGTTGCGTTGCGTAAGACGATAGCACGGTGTTATCAATTTTCTTATTAATCGTATATTTATGTTCCTTGATACGTTGTTGTAATTTGCGCATTGTTGCGCCTACATAGACAAGATCCGAATTAAAACGCTGATCGTGTAATGGTATAGAGTAGATTCCCGATGCCGATTTCCAGTCATAATGCTTCTTATCGTTTCTTAATAGCTTGAAAACTGTAGGATTGCGTCGATATACTATATTGAAATCATTAGTCTTGGCCGTTTCTTTATGTATTTGTCTTAAAAACGGGATATAATTTAAAACCATCCTTTGTCTACCGTCTACTGTGGGATGCTGTTGTTTAGTTGTTTGGAAGGATGTAATAAGATTCTTTATGATTTTCTTTTGTTGTTCCGCAATCCTTAGAATGTAGTTTAGCTCCGCCATTGTGTCTTTTATGCTAGAACAATGTGTATAAGCCCTTTTTATCCAGGACCTAAAGGCCGCCAATTTGATGTGATGCGGATCGATTGAATTATGCGGAATTAATTTTATTCTATGTTATGGTAACTGAAGAAGATCGTTAAGAAACGGTCGAAAACGTTATTATTTTATTAATTTTTATTAGCTGGATTATTAAAGGTGTGTTTTATTATTCTATATAGATTTAATGATAATTATTGCACATACATTGTTTCATTAGAGTATCAGTTCAGTGAAATGAAGTCTTTAATTTTTTCTTCTTATATGTTCCTCAAGTTCTATCCATTCCTGATTTATAAATCTGATTTGATCCACTTGCTTCCTTGACTTAATATCAGTAATTTGGAGATTATCTTGGATGATTTTTTTTTCACTTGTTTAAACCATTTCTTCCACATTCTTTCAAATGATATTTTATATTTGCAAATCCCAATTTTGAGCTCTCATATATTTATTTCTGATTCTATATAGACAAACTCTTCTAAGCTTTGTTTTTAAAAACTTCCTTCATCTCTATGCAACATTCTCTTTTCCCTGCTGATGATTGATTATTCATATTTCTGAAGCAAATGTTAGAATATGAATGAAGTATTTTTTTTGTAGAAGTGTTTATACTGGAGCAATCAATGCATATTTTGTTTAGAACAGATCACAAATGCTCCTGAAACATTTTTTACCTTCAGTCATTCATATAGTTATTTCATATTTGTATTTCCATTTTTGAGACAATGTTTTTTAAATAGCTTTTTAAATCCTTCAATAAATGTATTATTTGGTTTTAAACTTATGTTTTTGACTTTTGAAAGTCATTTTTATGTTATTTGAAAGTCTTATAAAATATAAATTGAATAAAATTTGAATTTTTTTATTAATTATTCAGTTCTATTTAATTCATAAAATAACCTATGGATCAAATTTTTACATTTTGACTTTAAAGAAGTATATATTTTAAATTTTACTTAAAATAACTATTTTTATACTTTAATGTACTTATTAGTTGTTTTAAAATTTAATTTTAGCCAAGTCCACTCAGTCTGCCAGAAAGGAATAGGTCTTCTCATTCCACTAATTCAGCCCAAGCAACAGTTTCTCAGCACTATGGTAAGAATTACTGTTAATTGTATCTGAAACTTTATACTGTGATATAATTTATGTATTTAAATTTATTCTGTAAAATAAAATTAATGCAACTTTTTTAATATGTAAAAAATCTTAAAACTTAAATCTTTGTTTGAATTGTGAAATCATTGTTTCTAATTTTTACTTTTGCACTTTGATTTCCATCATAATTTGTACACTGCCTCAAATAGTTAACATTTAAACAGTTATCAGTTACATAATTTTATTTCAGAAACTTCATAACTATTACAAGTTTTTTAAAATATTAATTTAATGGAAATTTATATCTAAGATGTAATCCAGTTGTTAGTATCTAGTTCAAAACTTCTCTACAAGATGGCTATATTACAAGTATTATGATTGGCAATTGTCTTCTGGATGAAAACTTTGTGTTGTGCATATAATTTATTATATGAATAATAACTGTATTTTAATGTTAATAGTGTAAATATATAAAGTTACATGTCCTGACTGACTGACTGACTGGGTGATTCATCATCGCCCAGAGCAGACTGCTGAACCTAAAGAGGTGAAATTTGGTACACAGTTAGGGTACATCATGAAAATGCACACTAAGAAGGGAATTTTGGAAATTCCCCCGCAGAGGGAGAGGATTAAGGTTTAACCTGAAGAACAGCTTCTACTGTACTATTTTAGATGTGATTTTTTTTGTTTTTATAGTAACAACTAATGATTGAGAATCTTAGTGAGGTACCAAGGGAGGGTTATTTCTATCAAATTGCAAATTCTGCACGGGTGAAGCCGCGGGTAGGTAACAGCTAGTTATTATGAATTTATATTTATCTTTTCAATATAACAGAATCGTAACGTTCAAAAGTCAATAGGAGTGATCTGAGAAAATAAATTAAATTAGTAAATTAAAACAAAATTATTGATATTTTAACAAATTGCTTTCTATGTGTAAAAAAATTGAAATGAATAACTACTGAGGTACCACAGCTACATTCTGGTGCACATGATCTGGCATATGAAAAGAAGTTGGAAATTCAAAACTTTATCCTGATGATTGAGCATTCCCATGTCCCGCATATTTTTTATACCATAGCGACATTGTTTTGTCACAAAATTCCGAATTATGTCAATAAATTGGTTTAAGATTTTTCTATATATTTATATCTCTTTCCTGCTGATCAGAATGCTGTAATTTGACTGTTTTTTTTTAAATCTAAAGTTTTTTCATGAGGCATATTTGAAAAAAAATGAACATTGTTAGAAAAGCAAGAAGATTGTGATGTCACTTTTTATACTCGAATTTTTAAAGTGTGTATATTTTTGCATCATTGATATTCATCGCTTTTTTTTATATTTAAACTCTTAGGTTTTGTTTTCTTTGGATAGAATAGTATGTATTTGACTTTTTCTAAGATGACATTATAATTTAACAAAAACAACAATATGCTACAAATTATATGAATTGAAGAAGTATATACTACATTTACACTGCAGTATAGCTTTAGGTGATAAAGAAGTAACTGCTTGTGAGCAAACTTGCAAGTGTAACAAGATCCATTGGTTCTCAATGAAACAAAAAATTATAATAATGAATAGTATAGTTAATTAGGAAAATGAATTTAACAAATTTATAAGTTTGGGAACTTAAAACAATGCAAAATATCATTTGGTTTTAACTACAATAAATAAATTAAAAATTAAATAAAATGTTATTTTTTGGAAATCTGTGGTATTAAAATTGTAAATATAGATAAGTTTTTTTAATATACATATGATGAATTTTATTATTTGATTTTCTCATATAGTCAGTCATAAAATTGAGAGTTATGAGACAAACACCTTTATACAAACTGTGGCAAATTCTATATAGATTTAATGATTATTATTGCACATACATTGTTTCATTAGAGTATCAGTTCAGTGAAATGAAGTCTTTAATTTTTTCTTCTTATATGTTCCTCAAGTTCTATCCATTCCTGATTTATAAATCTGATTTGATCCACTTGCTTCCTTGACTTAATATCAGTAATTTGGAGATTATCTTGGATGATTTTTTTTTCACTTGTTTAAACCATTTCTTCCACATTCTTTCAAATGATATTTTATATTTGCAAATCCCAATTTTGAGCTCTCATATATTTATTTCTGATTCTATATAGACAAACTCTTCTAAGCTTTGTTTTTAAAAACTTCCTTCATCTCTATGCAACATTCTCTTTTCCCTGCTGATGATTGATTATTCATATTTCTGAAGCAAATGTTAGAATATGAATGAAGTATTTTTTTTGTAGAAGTGTTTATACTGGAGCAATCAATGCATATTTTGTTTAGAACAGATCACAAATGCTCCTGAAACATTTTTTACCTTCAGTCATTCATATAGTTATTTCATATTTGTATTTCCATTTTTGAGACAATGTTTTTTAAATAGCTTTTTAAATCCTTCAATAAATGTATTATTTGGTTTTAAACTTATGTTTTTGACTTTTGAAAGTCATTTTTATGTTATTTGAAAGTCTTATAAAATATAAATTGAATAAAATTTGAATTTTTTTATTAATTATTCAGTTCTATTTAATTCATAAAATAACCTATGGATCAAATTTTTACATTTTGACTTTAAAGAAGTATATATTTTAAATTTTACTTAAAATAACTATTTTTATACTTTAATGTACTTATTAGTTGTTTTAAAATTTAATTTTAGCCAAGTCCACTCAGTCTGCCAGAAAGGAATAGGTCTTCTCATTCCACTAATTCAGCCCAAGCAACAGTTTCTCAGCACTATGGTAAGAATTACTGTTAATTGTATCTGAAACTTTATACTGTGATATAATTTATGTATTTAAATTTATTCTGTAAAATAAAATTAATGCAACTTTTTTAATATGTAAAAAATCTTAAAACTTAAATCTTTGTTTGAATTGTGAAATCATTGTTTCTAATTTTTACTTTTGCACTTTGATTTCCATCATAATTTGTACACTGCCTCAAATAGTTAACATTTAAACAGTTATCAGTTACATAATTTTATTTCAGAAACTTCATAACTATTACAAGTTTTTTAAAATATTAATTTAATGGAAATTTATATCTAAGATGTAATCCAGTTGTTAGTATCTAGTTCAAAACTTCTCTACAAGATGGCTATATTACAAGTATTATGATTGGCAATTGTCTTCTGGATGAAAACTTTGTGTTGTGCATATAATTTATTATATGAATAATAACTGTATTTTAATGTTAATAGTGTAAATATATAAAGTTACATGTCCTGACTGACTGACTGACTGGGTGATTCATCATCGCCCAGAGCAGACTGCTGAACCTAAAGAGGTGAAATTTGGTACACAGTTAGGGTACATCATGAAAATGCACACTAAGAAGGGAATTTTGGAAATTCCCCCGCAGAGGGAGAGGATTAAGGTTTAACCTGAAGAACAGCTTCTACTGTACTATTTTAGATGTGATTTTTTTTGTTTTTATAGTAACAACTAATGATTGAGAATCTTAGTGAGGTACCAAGGGAGGGTTATTTCTATCAAATTGCAAATTCTGCACGGGTGAAGCCGCGGGTAGGTAACAGCTAGTTATTATGAATTTATATTTATCTTTTCAATATAACAGAATTTAATTTAATATACTATAAAGGCAAGTAGTAACGCAAGAATAAATTTTTTAGAAGTTTTTAATAAAATTGCTTACATGATTAAATGTTTTTGAGATGTTTTATTCCATCTTCAGCATTCTCCAAAGAACATTTAAATAAAGAATGAAGAACTGTCTTTAAAGATATTTCTTTCAAATTTTTGAAATAGCTACAATTCACTAATACTTTTGTTAAGTCATTCAAACAAAAGTAGCGTTTTTTTTTTTTTACTTAAAATTCAAGTTACAATAAACAATACATTGAACAAGACACACTAAACAATAATAAAGTTATTTGACTAAGTTACATTAAACAACTTGTTTCATGAAGGAATTGTATATTTGTAGAAAAATTTTTTTATACAAATTTATTGAACTATTCAAATCTACATACATATGCATGTAAGTTTCTGGAAATATTACAGTTGAAAAGTATTGAGTTTAACAGAAAATTTTTGAATTCTTCAGTAGACATTACTATAGAGAGTGATGATGTGATTTAATTAAAGCTGTTATTATATTTAACACCTCATTGCTTACATATGATAGCATAATAACATTAGATGGTTATTTTGAGTTTCCTTTTTTACATAGTTGTTTCGATAAAAAACAAGAACAAATGCCTAAAGATAATATACATGTATGGCATACTATTTCTTGAGTTTTGGAATGATACCATTGCAGTACAAACAGTAAAAAATAGTGATTTTTTTTTTTTTTAATGTTATTTGAAAAATAAATGTTGTTACAAATGAGGATGGTCTGTGGTTTTAACATAAAAATCATTTCATTTGTATTCTATACATGGAATGTATCTGCTCCATTTTTGTTTTTGACCTGATGATGGCCTGTTAATCAGGCTGAAAGTGTTTGTTTTCAATTATATATTTTTCTCAGAAACTAATTAAGGTGTTTTATTTTTATGTGTTTATTTGCTAAGCACTTTTAATGTTATGGTTTTAACTCCATAAAGAATTCTATATTTGTGTCACTTGTGTATATTTTCTGAATTGATTGGTCTGGAAGTGATGATCAAATGCAGATCTGGATAGTGTAATTAATAAACATCTACATGATACTCAGGAGTTGCAGGTTCAAGTCCCATTCTGGATTGATCTTTTCTTCCAGAATATTTAAGTTAATTTATTTATTTCTAACTATTAAATTTAACTTGAGATTGCAGCTTAATCATCTATCTTTAGTCCAAATTGCATATTAGTTACAATTAATTACAGCCTGCATATTACAGCCTGATTGAAATTTGGCAGTGTTGTTTGTTTATTACTTTAGTTATAAGTGTTACATTTCAATTAATAAAGATTTGAATTCAAATTTCTGTTTTTCTAATTTTTAAATTTTTTTCCTTTGGAATTACAAAGATAAACTATACTAGGGAATCTAAAGATGTTGGACACTACATTCCCTTGTAAGTTTTTAATAAGAGATTATATCCTTTATCATGCAACTGAACTTAAGCTGTTTGACATAACCTGATATATTTATACTTGTTGAAAATTGTAATTTCTTGTAATTAAATTAACTGAAACAAAGTACATGCCTGCAAAAAAAGAACAAAGTTAATACTTATAAGTGAGTGTCATAATGAAAGTGATGTAATATTTTTTAGAGTAATATGGGTGACATTTGAATTGTAGAAAGTCTTGCAAGTGATGTGTTCAGAACAGTTATCTAGGATGAAATGGTGAATAAGAAAATAAGTGATGAAACAGTTGGGATAATTAGGACTCTTTTAGAACCTGGGTAGTTCTTCAGACAATTTCAGAAGAATTTAAGGATAATGCGTTTTCATTGGATAGATTTCAAACATTAAAAATGGTAAGCAGAGAGCATCCAGATAAGGATCACAGCAAAGCAATGGTGTGGTGGTTGAAAATGTATTCTACCAAAGGCAACATTAAAGAGACTAGACTATGACCAGTATGGAGAACCAACCAACACAATCAGAAATGGGACAGAGGTTTGGTGTTAGCCAACAAGTAACCAATTATAATCTGAAGAAAGTGGGCTTTAAACTCAAGAAATCTGTATGCTATGAGGTTTCTAATGCATTCATCCAAAAGGGATACTTCAGGTATTGGTCATTCTGCCACCTGCTGACAAAAACTTATCACAACTGATGAAAGTTGGTTTTATCTCACTAAATCCTGAGACAAGAGGAATATCTGCTACATTAATGGGCCAAAATCACTCCTAAGCACCACATCAACTTCAGCATTTCATCTGCAAGGAGGAATTGTGGTTTGGGCTGGAATTTCAGCAAAGGAAGCAACGAAGCTTATTTTCGTAGGACTTGGGGCAAAAGCATCATAAAAATACTACATCAAGATCCTTTTTCCTTTCTTCCTGTCAGATGCCAAGAGACTGTTTTCAGATAGTGACTTTGTATTTCATTAGGACTCTTGCTTTCACATACAACAAAGGTACAATTGTATTCCTGCAGAAAAGCAAATTGCATTTATCAAATCCTTACAATGGTTGCAAAACAGTTCTAATGCTGCTCCCTGCAATTATTTCTTATGGGGCTACTTGAAATAGAAGAAAGAAACAAAATGTAATGGATTAAAACGTGCCATTCGAGAAGAAATTACAAGAACTTTCCCAAGAGATGATAGAGCGGGCTCTAAAGGCTTGGCCACATAGAGTGTGGAGCATATAATATGCAAAAGGTGGACACATTGAGAAACACAACTAAATGTAAGATTTACGGAAAAATAAAAGTGTTCACTCTGATTTTTTGTAGTTCCACAGGCTGTTTCCAATCTGCTACATAATAATTGAGCATAAAGTTATATTACTGTTTATCTAAATACAGTACAACAAAATACAACTAAGATAATGCACACTATGAAATATTTATATACATGTACACAACAATTATATTAATGCAATGACAAAATTGATATACTGTACATCCACATAATTTCAGAACAGTATTGACACACAGAGAGTAGTAAATTAAACAAGAAATAATTAAATTCTATATGGTTAGTGAAAGTTCCATTACTACTTTAGAGGTGCACTTAATCTTTTTATGTTTACATTTTCATTACCCTATCCTTTTGCTATACCTTATCCTTAAACACTTCAAAATATGTACAGTCGTGTGCAAAAGTTTAAGACCAGCAGCTGATTTTTTGTATTTTAAAACATAGCATCATTTACATAGAATATTGCATCATTTTATGTGTTGAATGCATCAGACACTTTTGACTGCTATAAATAACCACCCCCATCTCATTCATCGCCAGTTGTTTTGTGGATTTAACCATAGAGATGCTGTTTTTTAATCATTGTAATAGGTAAAAAGCCATCACTTACTGTTGCAAAAAGGGCAGAAATAGTGGCCCTGCATAAAGTTGGCTTTTTTGATTATGAAATAGCTAAAAGGGTACATGTGAGCAAGACTACTATTTATCAAGCTGTCAGTAAATTTAACAATTCAGGAAAATACACAGATCTGAAGAGAAGCAGTCGCCCAAGAAAAACGAGTGCTCATAATGATCATATGATCCGAAGGATGGTAGTAAAATCTCCAACACCTCCAGCAAGAAAATTAAACATACAATCGCTACAAAGGGCACCAACATCAGTTTGAGTACTATTTCAAGACGTTTAACCAAAGATTTTGCTTTATTATTCTACAAACCAGCTAGGATATCTCGGCTTACCTCAAACATGAAAAAGAAACAACTGACTTTCGCCCAGAAACATAAGAACTGGACAGTACACCAGTTGAGTGCAGTGTTATTTTCTGATGAGTCAAGTATCCAGCAATTTTCTGCTCGTGCTAGAAGTGTTCGCCCCCAATGGGAAGGAGATATGAGAAAAGATATACAAGTCCAACCATGAAACATCCTCCAAGCCGGATGATATAGGGTGCAATGTCTGTGTCTGGTACTGCTGCTTTGAATTTCCTGTCGCCTAAAACCACTATGAACGGAAGTCACTACCTTAATTTGTTATGTGATAAGTTGAAACTTCACATGCATGTTCATCAATGTTCCATTTTTATGCATGATGGTTCTCCATGTCACAGGTCAAAAAACTGTTAGGGACTATCTGATGGTGGAGGAAATTCAGGTGCTTGACTGGCCAGATAACAGCCAAGATTTGAACCCAATTGAGAATCTGTCGTACTGTAAAAAATAAAGTGGCAGAAAAGCAACCATCAAGTGCTACAGAACTTGTTGAAGTCATAAAGAATGTCTCGTGTACAGAGATTTGTCAAGCCTACTGTCATTCTCTGATCTATAATATGCCTAACGGGATTGCAGCAGTGATTAAAAACAAAAGTGGTGCTAAAAAATACTGAGTTTAATTTCAATTCTTCAATAAAAATACTTGTAAGTCCATTTTGTTGTTCTTTTATGGGTGGTAAGCTGGCAACACCGGCTTGNTGTGCCCTCGTCCAGAAACATTCACTCAAGGCACTCAGTCAGCCATTGCATACCTGGCAAGGCAATATAAACACCAACTGAAACCCAATGTATAGCAAATAGACATTCATAACTGCCATAAATAATTGGCTATAATTATTTACACATTTATATCTGTATACTTGTAATTGCCTTTGATGATGATGGAAAATTTTGTAATGATAGATGAATATATCTGCAGCACAGAAAAATTTTACATTTTCTAAAGATATGCATAGTGACTTTATTTTATACAAATGAAAAATTGTTTTAAGAAATTCATAATAAATTGGAAGTTGCAAGATTGTGAAATTAGCTTGACCCATTTTATAGTCAGTTCCTTATTTCAAATTCAGTTTTTAACTGAAGATGCACAGGTTATCTGCAAAAAAATATGGTAAACTACCAGATGTGCCTGGCATTGTCTGGACAAAAAGTAAGAACAACAAACATTAAAATGAAAATCATATTAAGATTTTGGTTATTTTAGCCTATCATTGTCATTTTCATTATGAAGTGTTAAATTATAATGAGAAAAAAGAAAATGTAACCAAAGAATAAAATTGACAAAAATCTACTCTGAAAAAGAAAATTAATCTTTTTTTAAAATATATCAAAAGTGAAAACAAAACATTGAATGTATGTTATTGTGATATTATCACAATAATAGCAACAACCCAACCACCCTTATGCTCAAGGGAACTTTTGTTCCCACTAAGACACTGCAATAATAATTCAACTAATGTTGATTAAGCATTCTCTGTTTTTTTTTTTCCTGTATATATGGACATTACATATGTAATTTTAGTTCTTAATGTAAATCCTATTATTTATTTACTCCTGTGCAGAACTTAACGAAATTAAATATATGGTTTAATAAATGGACCCGGTGCTCATGGATCTCCTGCTTTTTACCTTTCTTCCCTTCCTTTTTCCTCCTCCTTTTCCCTTTCCCTTCCCACTGGGTGCAGCTGATCAGCCTTCCCTTTGATAGATAAATAGATATCGTCACAATACTAGGTTGCAACTTTTAATTAGCTCCTAATTTAAAAATATTACATGACTTCCATTCTAGATTGGAAGTTCATATATAGTTAATTGACACTTCTAGCTGCTAACCTTTTCATATCTGGCCTTGGTTTTCATTTATCTAACTGTGTTCTTGAGATTGACAAAGGCCAGATGAATGGATGGCAGTGGGAATGTATAGGTCAGCAATCTGAAAATTGCAACACAATGAACAATCAGATTTTTAGGCAAATGGACCAAAGATTAACAATTCATGTACCTCTGAGTACATTAATTGTGCTTACTAAGAATGCTATACTTAAATGTTGGTCAGGTAGACAGAATTGATGTTTTTCAACAGAAAATAGTCTTTCATTTCTGCCAGCATGAGAAGATAATTCAAGACATTCAAATTTTGCCTAATGTTAATTTTGTTGTACTGTATCATTCACAGCCAAATGTGAAATGGTAATCAGTTAATGAATCAAATTTTTCAAAAAATGGAGCAAATATTTAAACTTTGCACCTTGAAATCCCCTAAGAGAATATTTTGTACTTGATGGTAACTTCATTTTACGTAATTTTCCTATTTGAATGTCATCATCCTACTAGTCAGATAGAAAGGCAGCCTGATGTGGCAGAGGTTGAAATCAATTCAATCAAAAATAGTCATAGACTTTCTTCTGGATAAGAGGCTGGTTCCTGAAAAGTTTCTTTGCATTTGCTTAAACAGTATCAAAACATATAAAAAAAAACAAACTAACAAACTTTCTTCTTAATGTATATTAGATTACTTTATTTATCTATCAATAAATTATGGTAAATATAGGGTAAATTGAATAAATGCCAATCTGCCACATTATTGGACTATAATAAGGCTAATTTAATAAATTGGGTTTTTGGATTTATTGTTTATATATTGAATAAAAATTATATTTTCTGTGGGTGTTAATTTAATGGTACACTCAAGTATAAAAGTACCAGTTTGTTAAGACTGGTATTATGACACTATTAGCAGGCAACCAGTCATCAAAAAGAAAAACTTAATTTAGAATTAAAAATTGAAATTTAATGTATATCAAAAGGTACTCATAGTCTGGACTAGGTGAAATGTATTCACACTAACTACAAAAAAATGAATTACAAAATTTCTTTGTATACCACATTTAAGGTGGTAAATCCAATATAACCAAACTTTTCTTGGCCATGTCCTACTGGCTAACAATTCAGTGAACCTGACATTGAATTGTTACAAAATTTTGATGATGCTAAAAATTTCTTATTAACAAAATAATGGAAAATTTCAAAAAAATGTGGACCCCAATATCTCTGAAACATTGGATCCAAAAACAAAAAGCTTATTGCACATCTGCAGACCCACTTTTATCTATTGACACCTAATTTGTTCAAGTTTGCCAAGAAATTTAGGAAGAGTTTGGGAAACAAACTCTCATTAGCATTTTATATGTATAGATTAAAATAATTTTTCATTCTACAAACATGTTCTTATATATCTTAAATTTAAGTATAATTTTAGTACACTAATCTCTAAATATTATCCTTGTTTGGTATAAATAATAATAATTTGTTATTCTTACATGTTACTTTACTTTTGTAATGTATTTTAAATAATAATAATAATTTTATGCTTTTATGTAACTGTTCATAATAGCATATATTTATATTAAATCTTCAAACTATAGTCTTTTTAATTTTGTAATAAATTTGTAATTGGATTAAAATAAATTGTAAATTGAAATTGTTCTAAATGCCTTTCTAAGACTATAATTTGTTTAATAGTTTGAACAAAGTTTAAAAAAAATGTTCCATTTTTACCTGAAGAAGATAAATTGATTTATTAAAAATGCCTGTAATACTTTCTAATTTCTACTTTTATATTTGTGTTTACTATTAAATTAACACCTGTTGACAGTGTTTTTCCCTATCTTATTTAGAAATTTTGATTTATGTTTTCACTATATATTATAGACTATAATTTACATGTTTATTTCATATTATTTAGCTTTTAACTTTAATAACTTTAATTAATACTTCTATTATGTTTAATTGTATAAATACTAATATTTATTTAATTATAATATTTATACAATTACATTAAATATTGCTTAAAATTCTTTAGTGGAAAACTTTGTCAAAAAATTTTTTAAAACCAATATTGAAGATATTAAAAATACTAGAGATATAACCAATACCAGTATATCAACATGTTGGAAATGTTCCTGATATATCAGTTGATTTTATAAACTGATACTTTAATTTTTTAATACATCCTTTGCATTTTTTTTTTTTTTTGCCATGATAGTTATCAAAAATGTCAATAGACACAACTCATGCTGTAAAACAAACCCATTGTAAATGATGTGTTTTTTCTGCATTTGATTTGATGGCCATATGACATAAAACTATATGTAACTAGTTATTCTTTCAATCACCATAATAGTGTATTTCTATTAATAGGACTTATCATACTGGTGTATAAGTCCTATTAGTATAGTGTACAGGTAATTGTAAATAAAACAATTTTAATCTGTGTGACTGAGTTGCTGTAATCTTAAACACCAGTATGATAACTCCTATTAATAGAAATACACTATTATGGTGATTGAAAGAATAACTAGTTGGAATTAAGGACATTGATGCATATTAATTATATGTAACTTGTTGTTGTAACTTATAACAAGCAACAACTTGATATGGGGCCCTGTTTTGTGGGAGATGAGATACATTCATTTCAGATCCATGTACCAAATTATAATTTCTGGCAGTGGCACAATCTGCCATTATTTTAGGAGCATGTTTTTTGCCATCCTTACATTCTAGTGTAAGAATAAAAAAATATATATATAATAAAATAAATTAAATTAGTAAATTAAAACAAAATTATTGATATTTTAACAAATTACTTTCTATGTGTAAAAAAATTATTTTTTTACACATAGAAAATGAATAACTACTGAGGTACCACAGCTACATTCTGGTGCACATGATCTGGCATATGAAAAGAAGTTGGAAATTCAAAACTTTATTCTGATGATTGAGCATTCCTGTCCTGCATATTTTTTAGACCATAGTGACATTGTTTTGTCACAAAGTTCCGAATTATGTCAATAAATTGGTTTAAGATTTTTCTATATATTTATATCTCTTTCCTGCTGATCAGAATGCTGTAATTTGACTGTTTTTTTTAAAATCTAAAGTTTTTTCATGAGGCATATTTGAAAAAAAAATGAACACTGTTAGAAAAGCAAGAAGATTGTGACGTCACTTTTTATACTCAAATTTTTAAAGTATGTATATTTTTGCATCATTGATATTCATCATTTTTTTTTATATTTAAACTCTTAGGTTTTGTTTTCTTTGGATAGAATAGTATGTATTTGACTTTTTCTAAGATGACATTATAATTTAACAAAAACAGCAATATGCTACAAATTATATGAATTGAAGAAGTATATACTACATTTACACTGCAGTATAGCTTTAGGTGATAAAGAAGTAACTGCTTGTGAGCAAACTTGCAAGTGTAACAAGATCCATTGGTTCTCAATGAAACAAAAAATTATAATAATGAATAGTATAGTTAATTAGGAAAATGAATTTAACAAATTTATAAGTTTGGGAACTTAAAACAATGCAAAATATCATTTGGTTTTAACTAGAATAATTAAATTAAAAATTAAATAAAATGTTATTTTTTGGAAATCTGTGGTATTAAAATTGTAAATATAGATAAGTTTTTTTAATATACATATGATGAATTTTATTATTTGATTTTCTCATATAGTCAGTCATAAAATTGAGAGTTATGAGACAAACACCTTTATACAAACTGTGGCAAATTCTATATAGATTTAATGATTATTATTGCACATACATTGTTTCATTAGAGTATCAGTTCAGTGAAATGAAGTCTTTAATTTTTTCTTCTTATATGTTCCTCAAGTTCTATCCATTCCTGATTTATAAATCTGATTTGATCCACTTGCTTCCTTGACTTAATATCAGTAATTTGGAGATTATCTTGGATGATTTTTTTTTCACTTGTTTAAACCATTTCTTCCACATTCTTTCAAATGATATTTTATATTTGCAAATCCCAATTTTGAGCTCTCATATATTTATTTCTGATTCTATATAGACAAACTCTTCTAAGCTTTGTTTTTAAAAACTTCCTTCATCTCTATGCAACATTCTCTTTTCCCTGCTGATGATTGATTATTCATATTTCTGAAGCAAATGTTAGAATATGAATGAAGTATTTTTTTTTTTGTAGAAGTGTTTATACTGGAGCAATCAATGCATATTTTGTTTAGAACAGATCACAAATGCTCCTGAAACATTTTTTACCTTCAGTCATTCATATAGTTATTTCATATTTGTATTTCCATTTTTGAGACAATGTTTTTTAAATAGCTTTTTAAATCCTTCAATAAATGTATTATTTGGTTTTAAACTTATGTTTTTGACTTTTGAAAGTCATTTTTATGTTATTTGAAAGTCTTATAAAATATAAATTGAATAAAATTTGAATTTTTTTATTAATTATTCAGTTCTATTTAATTCATAAAATAACCTATGGATCAAATTTTTACATTTTGACTTTAAAGAAGTATATATTTTAAATTTTACTTAAAATAACTATTTTTATACTTTAATGTACTTATTAGTTGTTTTAAAATTTAATTTTAGCCAAGTCCACTCAGTCTGCCAGAAAGGAATAGGTCTTCTCATTCCACTAATTCAGCCCAAGCAACAGTTTCTCAGCACTATGGTAAGAATTACTGTTAATTATATCTGAAACTTTATACTGTGATATAATTTATGTATTTAAATTTATTCTGTAAAATAAAATTAATGCAACTTTTTTAATATGTAAAAAATCTTAAAACTTAAATCTTTGTTTGAATTGTGAAATCATTGTTTCTAATTTTTACTTTTGCACTTTGATTTCCATCATAATTTGTACACTGCCTCAAATAGTTAACATTTAAACAGTTATCAGTTACATAATTTTATTTCAGAAACTTCATAACTATTACAAGTTTTTTAAAATATTAATTTAATGGAAATTTATATCTAAGATGTAATCCAGTTGTTAGTATCTAGTTCAAAACTTCTCTACAAGATGGCTATATTACAAGTATTATGATTGGCAATTGTCTTCTGGAGGAAAACTTTGTGTTGTGCATATAATTTATTATATGAATAATAACTGTATTTTAATGTTAATAGTGTAAATATATAAAGTTACATGTCCTGACTGACTGACTGACTGGGTGATTCATCATCGCCCAGAGCAGACTGCTGAACCTAAAGAGGTGAAATTTGGTACACAGTTAGGGTACATCATGAAAATGCACACTAAGAAGGGAATTTTGGAAATTCCCCCGCAGAGGGAGAGGATTAAGGTTTAACCTGAAGAACAGCTTCTACTGTACTATTTTAGATGTGATTTTTTTTGTTTTTATAGTAACAACTAATGATTGAGAATCTTAGTGAGGTACCAAGGGAGGGTTATTTCTATCAAATTGCAAATTCTGCACGGGTGAAGCCGCGGGTAGGTAACAGCTAGTTATTATGAATTTATATTTATCTTTTCAATATAACAGAATTTAATTTAATATACTATAAAGGCAAGTAGTAATGCAAGAATAAATTTTTTAGAAGTTTTTAATAAAATTGCTTACATGATTAAATGTTTTTGAGATGTTTTATTCCATCTTCAGCATTCTCCAAAGAACATTTAAATAAAGAATGAAGAACTGTCTTTAAAGATATTTCTTTCAAATTTTTGAAATAGCTACAATTCACTAATACTTTTGTTAAGTCATTCAAACAAAAGTAGCGTTTTTTTTTTTACTTAAAATTCAAGTTACAATAAACAATACATTGAACAAGACACACTAAACAATAATAAAGTTATTTGACTAAGTTACACTAAACAACTTGTTTCATGAAGGAATTGTATATTTGTAGAAAAATTTTTTTATACAAATTTATTGAACTATTCAAATCTACATACATATGCATGTAAGTTTCTGGAAATATTACAGTTGAAAAGTATTGAGTTTAACAGAAAATTTTTGAATTCTTCAGTAGACATTACTATAGAGAGTGATGATGTGATTTAATTAAAGCTGTTATTATATTTAACACCTCATTGCTTACATATGATAGCATAATAACATTAGATGGTTATTTTGAGTTTCCTTTTTTACATAGTTGTTTCGATAAAAAACAAGAACAAATGCCTAAAGATAATATACATGTATGGCATACTATTTCTTGAGTTTTGGAATGATACCATTACAGTACAAACAGTAAAAAATAGTGATTTTTTTTTTTTTTAATGTTATTTGAAAAATAAATGTTGTTACAAATGAGGATGGTCTGTGGTTTTAACATAAAAATCATTTCATTTGTATTCTATACATAGAATGTATCTGCTCCATTTTTGTTTTTGACCTGATGATGGCCTGTTAATCAGGCTGAAAGTGTTTGTTTTCAATTATATATTTTTCTCAGAAACTAATTAAGGTGTTTTATTTTTATGTGTTTATTTGCTAAGCACTTTTAATGTTATGGTTTTAACTCCATAAAGAATTCTATATTTGTGTCACTTGTGTATATTTTCTGAATTGATTGGTCTGGAAGTGATGATCAAATGCAGATCTGGATAGTGTAATTAATAAACATCTACATGATACTCAGGAGTTGCAGGTTCAAGTCCCATTCTGGATTGATCTTTTCTTCCAGAATATTTAAGTTAATTTATTTATTTCTAACTATTAAATTTAACTTGAGATTGCAGCTTAATCATCTATCTTTAGTCCAAATTGCATATTAGTTACAATTAATTACAGCCTGCATATTACAGCCTGATTGAAATTTGGCAGTGTTGTTTGTTTATTACTTTAGTTATAAGTGTTACATTTCAATTAATAAAGATTTGAATTCAAATTTCTGTTTTTCTAATTTTTAAATTTTTTTCCTTTGGAATTACAAAGATAAACTATACTAGGGAATCTAAAGATGTTGGACACTACATTCCCTTGTAAGTTTTTAATAAGAGATTATATCCTTTATCATGCAACTGAACTTAAGCTGTTTGACATAACCTGATATATTTATACTTGTTGAAAATTGTAATTTCTTGTAATTAAATTAACTGAAACAAAGTACATGCCTGCAAAAAAAGAACAAAATTAACACTTATAAGTGAGTGTCATAATGAAAGTGATGTAATATTTTTTAGAGTAATATGGGTGACATTTGAATTGTAGAAAGTCTTGCAAGTGATGTGTTCAGAACAGTTATCTAGGATGAAATGGTGAATAAGAAAATAAGTGATGAAACAGTTGGGATAATTAGGACTCTTTTAGAACCTGGGTAGTTCTTCAGACAATTTCAGAAGAATTTAAGGATAATGCGTTTTCATTGGATAGATTTCAAACATTAAAAATGGTAAGCAGAGAGCATCCAGATAAGGATCACAGCAAAGCAATGGTGTGGTGGTTGAAAATGTATTCTACCAAAGGCAACATTAAAGAGACTAGACTATGACCAGTATGGAGAACCAACCAACACAATCAGAAATGGGACAGAGGTTTGGTGTTAGCCAACAAGTAACCAATTATAATCTGAAGAAAGTGGGCTTTAAACTCAAGAAATCTGTATGCTATGAGGTTTCTAATGCATTCATCCAAAAGGGATACTTCAGGTATTGGTCATTCTGCCACCTGCTGACAAAAACTTATCACAACTGATGAAAGTTGGTTTTATCTCAGTAAATCCTGAGACAAGAGGAATATCTGCTACATTAATGGGCCAAAATCACTCCTAAGCACCACATCAACTTCAGCATTTCATCTGCAAGGAGGAATTGTGGTTTGGGCTGGAATTTCAGCAAAGGAAGCAACGAAGCTTATTTTCGTAGGACTTGGGGCAAAAGCATCATAAAAATACTACATCAAGATCCTTTTTCCTTTCTTCCTGTCAGATGCCAAGAGACTGTTTTCAGATAGTGACTTTGTATTTCATTAGGACTCTTGCTTTCACATACAACAAAGGTACAATTGTATTCCTGCAGAAAAGCAAATTGCATTTATCAAATCCTTACAATGGTTGCAAAACAGTTCTAATGCTGCTCCCTGCAATTATTTCTTATGGGGCTACTTGAAATAGAAGAAAGAAACAAAATGTAATGGATTAAAACGTGCCATTCGAGAAGAAATTACAAGAACTTTCCCAAGAGATGATAGAGCGGGCTCTAAAGGCTTGGCCACATAGAGTGTGGAGCATATAATATGCAAAAGGTGGACACATTGAGAAACACAACTAAATGTAAGATTTACGGAAAAATAAAAGTGTTCACTCTGATTTTTTGTAGTTCCACAGGCTGTTTCCAATCTGCTACATAATAATTGAGCATAAAGTTATATTACTGTTTATCTAAATACAGTACAACAAAATACAACTAAGATAATGCACACTATGAAATATTTATATACATGTACACAACAATTATATTAATGCAATGACAAAATTGATATACTGTACATCCACATAATTTCAGAACAGTATTGACACACAGAGAGTAGTAAATTAAACAAGAAATAATTAAATTCTATATGGTTAGTGAAAGTTCCATTACTACTTTAGAGGTGCACTTAATCTTTTTATGTTTACATTTTCATTACCCTATCCTTTTGCTATACCTTATCCTTAAACACTTCAAAATATGTACAGTCGTGTGCAAAAGTTTAAGACCAGCAGCTGATTTTTTGTATTTTAAAACATAGCATCATTTACATAGAATATTGCATCATTTTATGTGTTGAATGCATCAGACACTTTTGACTGCTATAAATAACCACCCCCATCTCATTCATCGCCAGTTGTTTTGTGGATTTAACCATAGAGATGCTGTTTTTTAATCATTGTAATAGGTAAAAAGCCATCACTTACTGTTGCAAAAAGGGCAGAAATAGTGGCCCTGCATAAAGTTGGCTTTTTTGATTATGAAATAGCTAAAAGGGTACATGTGAGCAAGACTACTATTCATCAAGCTGTCAGTAAATTTAACAATTCAGGAAAATACACAGATCTGAAGAGAAGCAGTCGCCCAAGAAAAACGAGTGCTCATAATGATCATATGATCCGAAGGATGGTAGTAAAATCTCCAACACCTCCAGCAAGAAAATTAAACATACAATCGCTACAAAGGGCACCAACATCAGTTTGAGTACTATTTCAAGACGTTTAACCAAAGATTTTGCTTTATTATTCTACAAACCAGCTAGGATATCTCGGTTTACCTCAAACATGAAAAAGAAACAACTGACTTTCGCCCAGAAACATAAGAACTGGACAGTACACCAGTTGAGTGCAGTGTTATTTTCTGATGAGTCAAGTATCCAGCAATTTTCTGCTCGTGCTAGAAGTGTTCGCCCCCAATGGGAAGGAGATATGAGAAAAGATATACAAGTCCAACCATGAAACATCCTCCAAGCCGGATGATATAGGGTGCAATGTCTGTGTCTGGTACTGCTGCTCTGAATTTCCTGTCGCCTAAAACCACTATGAACGGAAGTCACTACCTTAATTTGTTATGTGATAAGTTGAAACTTTACATGCATGTTCATCAATGTTCCATTTTTATGCATGATGGTTCTCCATGTCACAGGTCAAAAAACTGTTAGGGACTATCTGATGGTGAAGCAAATTCAGGTGCTTGACTGGCCAGATAACAGCCAAGATTTGAACCCAATTTAGAATCTGTCGTACTTTAAAAAATAAAGTGGCAGAAAAGCAACCATCAAGTGCTACAGAACTTGTTGAAGTCATAAAGAATGTCTCGTGTACAGAGATTTGTCAAGCCTACTGTCATTCTCTGATCTATAATATGCCTAACGGGATTGCAGCAGTGATTAAAAACAAAAGTGGTGCTAAAAAATACTGAGTTTAATTTCAATTCTTCAATAAAAATACTTGTAAGTCCATTTTGTTGTTCTTTTATGGGTGGTAAGCTGGCAACACCGGCTTGACCATTGAAGGGAGGCCAGTATTTAAACGAGACTTAATTTTGTAATTATGAGTGGTTGTTTGTTTTGTGAGCAACAAAATAATTTTAAAATAATTTTTAATGATACAATAGCGATGATTATTATTTTAAAAAAAAATTGTTAGGCTTAACATCGATGAAAATTCAACGCGAAGTTGGTTAATAGCGATATACTAATTGCATGGGATATACTAATAATGTATTTTTTTCATTATTTTTGGTTATCCGATTTTTTCAGTTATCCAACCAACCTAAGTCCCCAATTGAGTCAGATAATCGATGCTTTACTGTATTCTACATGGAGTAATCACAACTTTTCTAGCAATACCAACTTTAGTTGTGAAAAATCATTTGTCACTTCTTCTGAAAGGCATAGAATAGCATACTGGCATTTTTATGTTATAAATTAGTTGCCTTTTCCCTTAATTATTCTGAAATTTTGAATTTACAATTAGTAAATAATTCCTCTAAATTCAAACACCAAAATTGAGACATTTGCATTTTCCTCAGACATAAGAGAAATAACAGATTTTACCCTTTTTGGGCATTTGTCTATCTCAAACATTCCAGTCAAATAATCCATATTACCATTTGAGTGTCACACAATCGTAATATTTGACTTTTTAGTTCTGCTTTTATTCTTTTTGTCTGTTTTCTTCTCTATTCTTTTTACCTTCATTTACACTTCTACCACTGTTTGTCTTAATTTAAATTGTAGCTTGACTTTTTAACTTACATTCATTCTCATTTTTATCTGTGATCTCTTTTTGCATCTTCTGTTTTCAAGCATTCCAAACAAGATCTGTTTTACAGTAGTTGTGATAGGGTTTCAAATTGCCATTTTTATGAAATTAGATTTAGGTTTTTGGCTCTTGCTTTTTATGCCAATGATAGGGTAGAGGGAAGTTGCAGAAATAGATGGTAAATGAAGAGTCTTATTGTATTTGTACAACAATACAAAAATGTGCACTGTCTCCTGCCAACACCATACAAGTGTCAATCTTTTTCATTTGTGTAACATTTTACTCTATACTTTTCTTGTTGACATACAGTATATAGTTTATAAGAATATTGCTTTAAGAAGCTATTAAAAATCATAGGATAAAAATTAAATTGTTTTGTTTATAAAAAGTTTTAAGTTATTTTATTACCATATAATGACAATTTTCATATTTTATATTACATTAGTCACATTAATAATAGAAAAATGTAGTAATTTTCTAATAAATTATTGTTATGTATTTTTAAAAAAATTACTTATTTAGTTAGTTTTAAAACGGTTAGTTAAAGCTTAAACATATTGGATAACATATGTAAGGATGTTATCTTTACATATTAAAATGTAATTAGTATATTTTAAAATTTTTCAGCTGTTCCACCTGAAGTTAGTCCTGGTGTGAAACCAGAAAAACAAAAAGATTCAGAAAAATTATCACAGCTTGTTCGAGAAAAATCAGATACGCCAAACAGCCGGACTCCTGCGGATACGCCTCCACCTAATACTACAACCACGTCTACCTCCTCAACCACTTCCAGTACTACACAAGCTAAAGGGACAAAACGTTCCCGATCACGATAGTGAGTGATCACTTATATCCTGAAAATATCCCAGTAATATATCTCAGTAATTTGAATGCAATAAGTAATATATATTTTGTGTGTCATCAATAAGACACAATACTAATAACACAGGTCAACAGTGGTTTTGGTGCCCAGGTATTTTGAGCTGATTTCATATGAATTTGATGTCCTGAATTCAAATATGACATTAGTTTTTGCCTAGGAGCTCTAATTTTTAAGATATAGCATTTTAGCGAAATATACGTTTCACTATCTTAAGTTAAATCCATGGATCAAGTAAAAAAACTAAACATGAAATTTTTATTATATTATGCAAATATTATTCTATACAAAGATAGAGGAAAAAGTCATCAATAAAACTAAACAGTTACACATTGAGGAAGCTTCATTTCCGTGACTTTCGTGAATGTATTTTGGAGCAATCCCTTTTTAAACTCCAGTAGTAATCTGCCATCATATGCGTATCCCATCTTCCTTGGTAGCGGTCTTCCATAGTTTTAATATCCTGGTGAAATCTTTCACCTTGTTCTTCACTGGTGTCTCTTAAATTTTCAGGAAAATGGTCTAAGTGACTGTGTAAATAGTGCACTTTAATACTCATATTACACCCAAGGAATTTGAAACTGTTAAGCATCTCGTTTACCAGTTCAACATAATTTTCAGCTTTGCGTTTGCCTAGAAAATTTCTGACAACTGCAACAAATGAAGTCCAGGCTTTTTGCTCAGCTTCATTCATCAAATTGACAAAGGCAAGATCATTAATGAGTTGTCTTATTTGTGGGCCGTCAAATATTCCTTCTTTAATTTTTTCTATACTTAACTGAGGCATAAGAATTTTAGAAAGGCTTAGGTGGGGCATAGCACAAAAAAGATTGGGAAATCACTAATCTAGACACTGCCCGGCTACAAACTTACCTCAACTCTAGTTGAAGCATTGAACGTCAATTCGTTACCGAATGCTTACTTCATTTGGTGGCTTTACCTGGAACTAACTGGATGACAGACTAACAATGGGGAAAATATACAGGAATCAATTCTTGCATATATGATTTAGAACTGTACAAACTGGAATTAGAGCTGCACATTTCATGTAGCACTGTATGTTAAAAAAACACAGATCTAAAAAAGTAGAGCTGATAGAGAAAAACTGATTTCATATTTGGATTCAGTGACCCAAATATAGCTAAAATCAGTTCTAAAATCCTAGGCGCCAAAAAAAAAATTTTTTTTTTGTAGACTTGTGTAATTTTTAAGTAATCAGTTTATCACTTGATCCAAACTTGTTATTAAGTTTGGATTTCATGATGAGATATATTAGTCTCAAAAATGTTTTATCAAGTTATAAACTGACGACTAAAAAATTATTAACATTGTGCTTTATTGAGGAAAAAGATATTGAGTTGGTTATTAAATGGAGAATTACTTTTATATAATAAAAGTAAAATTCAAGTTACTGAGAATATATTTTCAGAATATCTAAGTAGAAATATTTGCTAATAAAACAATTTTTATTGTTATGACTATTAATATTAATATCACTGTAATATTTTAAGTATTAATTATTTTAAATAGTTATGAAAGTTTTTGTGAATTTTAATGTGATTTTAATCCAGAAGGATGAATTCAAAAGATGGATAAAATATACTTTAATACATCAACATACAGAAACACTAAATTACACTGAAGAACAGATGCTGACAATAACCCAATAACAATCATTAAAGAAAATATACATAGAATAACACTTAGTAATAAAAACAAACCCAATTACAACCAATGACACTGTAGATATACAATTAATTAACACATAGAAACATTTATTCCAAGAAACACTTATTAAATATACAAGTCCTGTATTCATGATCCCACACGAGACCTCAAATATCTAAAGTAAACATACAAAACAATTAAGGAAAATTCTATACTACACTAAATACACAAAATATTAGAATATACAGTAAAAGTTTACTTTGGTAGTTCCAATGGCCACGCTTCCGAAATCTTGATAGCAGGCGCAATTTGAAATCTGATCTAAATGGCACTGATCATATAGANAGAAACATTTATTCCAAGAAACACTTATTAAATATACAAGTCCTGTATTCATGATCCCACACGAGACCTCAAATATCTAAAGTAAACATACAAAACAATTAAGGAAAATTCTATACTACACTAAATACACAAAATATTAGAATATACAGTAAAAGTTTACCTTGGTAGTTCCAATGGCCACGCTTCCGAAATCTTGATAGCAGGCGCGATTTGAAATCTGATCTAAATGGCACTGATCATATAGACGTATCAGTATGCAAATGAGAATCCAACTCTCCCCTTGGAGAAGAAGAAGAATTATGCATACTGATACGTCTATGGGGAAAATATACAGGAATCAATTCTTGCATATATGATTTAGAACTGTACAAACTGGAATTAGAGCTGCACATTTCATGTAGCACTGTATGTTAAAAAAACACAGATCTAAAAAAGTAGAGCTGATAGAGAAAAACTGATTTCATATTTGGATTCAGTGACCCAAATATAGCTAAAATCAGTTCTAAAATCCTAGGCGCCAAAAAAAAAATTTTTTTTTTGTAGGCTTGTGTAATTTTTAAGTAATCAGTTTATCACTTGATCCAAACTTGTTATTAAGTTTGGATTTCATGATGAGATATATTAGTCTCAAAAATGTTTTATCAAGTTATAAACTGACGACTAAAAAATTATTAACATTGTGCTTTATTGAGGAAAAAGATATTGAGTTGGTTATTAAATGGAGAATTACTTTTATATAATAAAAGTAAAATTCAAGTTACTGAGAATATATTTTCAGAATATCTAAGTAGAAATATTTGCTAATAAAACAATTTTTATTGTTATGACTATTAATATTAATATCACTGTAATATTTTAAGTATTAATTATTTTAAATAGTTATGAAAGTTTTTGTGAATTTTAATGTGATTTTAATCCAGAAGGATGAATTCAAAAGATGGATAAAATATACTTTAATACATCAACATACAGAAACACTAAATTACACTGAAGAACAGATGCTGACAATAACCCAATAACAATCATTAAAGAAAATATACATAGAATAACACTTAGTAATAAAAACAAACCCAATTACAACCAATGACACTGTAGATATACAATTAATTAACACATAGAAACATTTATTCCAAGAAACACTTATTAAATATACAAGTCCTGTATTCATGATCCCACACGAGACCTCAAATATCTAAAGTAAACATACAAAACAATTAAGGAAAATTCTATACTACACTAAATACACAAAATATTAGAATATACAGTAAAAGTTTACCTTGGTAGTTCCAATGGCCACGCTTCCGAAATCTTGATAGCAGGCGCGATTTGAAATCTGATCTAAATGGCACTGATCATATAGACGTATCAGTATGCAAATGAGAATCCAACTCTCCCCTTGGAGAAGAAGAAGAATTATGCAAACTTTTGAGTTTCAGTTTCATGTTAACAGAAGCTGCATGTTGTGTTATTATGACAGTGGTAATATTATTCAAAAGTTTGTATTTTTATTTTATTTTATTTTATTTTATTTTGCGTTAAATATTATTAAAAGTAGAAATATTTATTTTTCATTTAACAAAATAATGTCAGAAGGACTGAAATTGTTGTCCAATGACTTTTGGGAAAATTGCAATTCTAGACTTATCTTTCGCCTGCTAGAATCTGAATTTGCTGATTTAGGAGTCGCTAAAACAATGCCTGATGTGTGGAAGGGGTAGAATCACATAGACAATTTAAAAGGTACAGTGGTACCTCAGGATATGAAAGTAATCCGTTCCAAAACTGAGATTGTATCATGAAAATGTCGTAAGGTTAATCATTTGTCCCCATACGATTACATGTAAAACCAAATAATTCATTCCAACACGAAAAAAACACTCAAATTAAAGCTAAGTAGTACATTGAAAAAAAAAACTTTAGTAAGGAAAACACTGAAAAATGCATTTTGTAGTTGTAAATGTATAAAAATAACCATGATAGAATAATAATTGATAAAAAAAAAAAATGTAGTTTTATTTGCACTTTACTTTTGAGGATAGACGTTGGTGGAGGTTTAAACTGGTGGCGGAGGAGAGGGAGAAGGGAAATGATACTAAAACTTAACTTGCATAACATAATTAACAATAACTTAAAAATAACTTAACACTAATTTTTTTAACTTTTCTGTTTTATATATATTTTTTAAATTTTTATTCACTGCTTTTTGCTTTCTTTCTTTCACTTCCACCAGCACTTTCACTGGATTGAGGTCGCTTGGTAAAATATCTATCCAAAGAGGTTTGGCTTTGCGTACTTTTTAAAATGTTTCTAAAATGACTTAGGCAAATGTCATTACTCCGAGTAGCAATACGGCCAGTGTGAACCTTTTTGGGATGTTTCTTTTCAATAAAATCAGTCACTTTCTGATAATACCTCAAGATTACTTTTATTGAGCGAGATCCTTTCACCACAAAGCAAACACACGGACTGAGACCAATGAACAGAAGTGAATAAAAAATGGCACTGCAAACTAATGTAACGTCGTATGGTGAGTTTTTGTTCGTACCGTGGAGCAAAATTATGTTCAAATTTCATGTCGTATCCTGAAAATTTCGTATGCTGGGGCGTTCGTATTGTGAGGTACCACTGTATTGAAACTGTGCATAAGACCGTGAAACATGCCAAAAACTTTGTCAACCCTATAACTGATGCACATACTAGAAAATTGAACGTCTATGGCAGGGGTGGCCAACCTGCGGCTCGCGAGCCACATGCGGCTCTTTGAAGGATTATTTGTGGCTCTCGATAAATGTACCCCGAGTTCCCTTTTTATTTTCGTGTTATTATATTTTAAAAAATTATTATCGTTCCGTATGTGTTTCAAAATGTCTTTTAAATTACTAACAACAAATATGAAAGACTAAGTGCAACGTTGTAACAATTTTCATTTCTGTCCAAGTTAAGAATGATATGACTCATCGAAAACTGCGCGAACGAACATAAACAGTGGCGTAATCGTCCGTTATCGACCGACTCCAGACCAATTTTGAATTTGTAAACTGTCATTGCAATGGACAGTTGACATTGTGCTCTGAAAGAAACAATTTGTATCACTCTTGCTACGGATATAATTTGTAATCTGGAATTTTTGCATACCTTTTTAATACGTATTTAATTGCGGCTCGCAAAAAATTTCAAATTTTGAAAAATGGCTCGGACTATCAAGGAGCTTGGCCACCCTGGGTCTATGGCATACTTTAAAAAGTAGGAAAACTTTGCCAGTGTATTTTACTGAGGATCTATTGGATTTATATTTATATTCTTTTATATACAAAAACATGTTTGAATGGGGAAGAAAAAGAAACCTGGAGAATAATTTCAGTTATTTGCTAAACATTTAAGTTGGATATATCCAGGATCAGGTAAAACCCCAAAATGGAAAGATCCAGAAAGTGTGCCTACTGCTCCTGAATCCAGCAAACAGAAGAAAGGAATACCCAAAAAGAAAAAAAAAAAGGAAATACCTATTAAAAATGTAGTTAAATTGTCAAATAGGAGAAAGGAAGGTTCTAAAACAAAATCGAAACAAGTTATCAAGCGAAAAATAAACAGGAAAACAAAATAAAAGTATGGAAAACGTGAGTAGCATATTTACATTTTAAATACATTTTAGTTAAAAAAAGAATTAAAAATAGACACATATTGGTAAGTTTGATGGTCACTATCTTCTTTGCGCAGACATGTTCACAAACAAGATGGCAACCAGAAGTGCAACCATTCGGACTACCAAGGTAAACTTTTACCCAATATACAGTCATCAGGTTCAACATTCAGGGATGACTGAACTTTAGTTTATTCTGGTGCATTTACCATGATGACATATACTGGTTTAGTCATTGTTCATAATTTTTATGTATTTCAACAAAGAATGAACTTTACAAAATTTTTCATCTATTATCATTTCTTTATTTTAGTTCTGCATATTTACTAATATTATCATTTTTATTAAAACAAAGATAATTTAAATATTAATTTTTTTTCTTTGTGTAGTTTGCTATATTTTTGTTAAAATACCTATTTTCTATGTTTAAAGTAACCTATATATTTCAATTTTGGAACCATCTGTAAAACTTCTCCACTTTGTATATGCAGTACATTTCTGATTATCTAAGACAGTGATTCTCAACCTTTTTTTTGTCACTGTACACTTTTAATGATTTAAAAATTTGGCCACACACAGTTACTTCGGTAAGTACTGCAGGACAACCGGTAACGTCATAACAGTGATTTTTAAACTCAGTTTTCTAAATGCCTTGGTAACTACCGGCAGTTACCAGTAACACCACTTACAATTTCCAAATGCATCCTAGGAAGGTAGATCTAATTGAAATACTTGTCTGATGTTGCTTATGTATGGGTATTCACAGTGGCGGCACACTTAAAATCTTGCAGCACGCTAAAGTGCCATGGTGCAGTGGTTGAGAATCACTGATCTAGGATAATGTGGACCAAGGATATTACAGATAATCAAAAACACTGTTAATATGGAATGTTTGTCACATAGTGATCAATGAAGTTGTTATGTAATAAATGATCTTTGTGTTTATGCTTCTCGTTTCTGCTAAAAAGAGACGGGACAAAATTTGCTTTAACTAACGTTTATCAAATGTTCTTGTTCTCATCTTTTCTCATGAGTGTTATGAGACACATTTATTAATAATTTAAGTGGTTACAATTGTAGAAAAAATGTGTAAAAAACTAGATAAAATTAAATTATTGAGCATTCAAACAGTAATAAATTTACAAAACGTAAATGTGAGAAAATAACAAAAAAAAATAATATCTGTGGGGTGGCAACATCCATCACCACACCATTCAGAAGTACAGGAATTTTTGTCATAAATCTAGTTTTATGATTGATTGCAATTAAAATTTATATTGTCATGAGAAATTATCAGAGTAAATTTTTTTTTAAAACTTCTAGTTGTCATTTAAAGAATTATGTATTATCAAAAAATAGCTAAATACTAAACCAAAAATTTATAGTTTATGTATATAATAATTTTCTGATTTACTAGAGTTAAATTCAAATCATTGTTGATTTTAAATCAGAGACTTCATAACAACTAGCAATGAAAGAAGTGAGCAACAACAATACTCAATATCAATTACTATTGAGTACCAAATTCTGATAAATTTAAAGAAGTTTTGAGTTCTTAATTTTTATACAGATATAGTATCTGTTTACTATAAGTTAGCATATATTAGTTAAGTAATGATTATCTTTTGTTAAATATTTATAAGTAAACCAAACCAGTTTCAAAGTTAGAAAATATTTAAATTTTAGAAATGCTTTTAATATTTTTATTTATCAACATACAGTATTGATATATTGAGTTTTGGAATTGCTAGGTATAAAGTACTTTTTTCTGTAATGTTGTCAGAAAATAAAATATCTGCAAAACCAATTCTAAAACTTAAATATTTTGACTTTTTGATAGTGAATTAGTTTTCTGTAACTTGTTTGAAAATTGATATTTGCAACTATTAATTTGAATATTTTTAAATTTAGTTTATAAAAAGTTATTAAAATTAATGAAATTATTGTCAGAAGAATTTTTCAAATATTGTTATTAAATAATTTTAAAATTATTTTTCTCTATTATCAATTTTTATCTTTTTCAAATAAAGTTGATATGGTTTTTTATTTATTTACGTTAAAAATATTATTATATATTTTTGTTATTATTTTTTAAATGATGTAGAAAACAATTACAGCAGCTTTTAATAGCAGCTTTGTTTTCTTTTACAAATAATTTGGCTTCAATGGAGAAAAATAAATTTTATTATAATGTTTTTTAAATAAAATATTCAAATAAATTTTAATTTCTGTTAAAAATGTATCTAAAAGATTTATTTCAAAGTAATACAATAAGTGGTATGATTTTAGATTTTATCTTGAAGAAATGAAAATGATGATTTCACTATATTAAATCCATAATAAATTAATAACTTTTATTAGAATAATTAATATATAATTTTAAATAAATTTGTTTACAAATACTTATTTTAATTCATAATGTTAGATTTTCAATTATCATTTAAAGTAATATAAATAAAATATAACACTAAAATAAACATGAGATCTGCCTTCTTCAAATGATTTTTAATATTTTACTATATTATCCTTTTTTCTTCCTATAGTGTCAAGCTTCATGGGTCCAGGTATGTTTTTCTTTATGAAAATTAAAATTTAAAGTTTATATAAACATTAAGTACATTGTTATAATTTCATATTAATTAATTTATTAATATAAAAATATTATATTTAAATGTGAATGAAACTGATTATAAAATTTTAAGAAACAATTAAATCATATAATCTTTGAGCAGTTTAGCCATTAAATATTTTCAAAAATTATATTATTGTGTTGTTTTTGTTTTTTTTTGTCAGGATTATATTTCGTACTACTAATCAGAAAGAACTATATATTAGTTATACATATAATCAAATTTGAAAGTAAATAAATATGGTTGAATTTGATTATATACATAACTAATATATAAAAGTAATGAATTATTTGTGTTTTATTTACAAATCTTTTGTGATTGTTTGTAAAAGAATATCAGTAAAAATATTATTTTTGTTTCAAACATTTATTATATTTACACCAGCTATACTATATTTCTCAATATTAAGGTTTTTTTTTTTTAAATAAATTATGAATAGTTAACAAAATTCTAATAATTTTGAGTGTTATTAGTTATTTTAAAGATATCAAAAAAGTTATTAAACATTTTTTTAAATCTCAAATCATTTGTGAATTGGCATTCTGAAATAAAACAAAAGAATTATCATTATATAATTGTAATTAATATTACAATTATATAATGATAATTATATAATTGTAATTATATAATGTAATTATATAATTGTAATTATATAATGTTATATAATTGTAATTAATATTACAATTATATAACACTTATTCTTAATGTTATGTTATGTTATGTTCCAAACGGCTAATGCCATTATTGTTTAAATTCAAACCTGTTCGAAACCTGTTCATTTTAATTACTGCCTGAGGACAACATTCATATATATGTTGAAAGTGCTAGCCGGAAATAAGATGTTCCTTAAAATGCTCCTTAACACCTTTGATGTGAATTTTTGCTTGAGTTAGAACAATTGTTGGCATGTCATCCACAATACGTATGTAAATTACCTTACAAGATGAGCAATGGAAAACGGATGTTCTTTTCTATGTTGAACCTAGAAAATCTGTGACATAAATTACATGCCCAGCTGGTCTTTCTGTTAAAGTGCAGAGGACATAACGTAACACTCAAGTGCATCACCATGCACTACTGGGTCTTTCCTTTGTGTCTATGAGGTGCTTTGAAACGTGTGGAAAAATTCTTCTTCTCAAAGCTAATCAAAAACAAGCGCAAGTGTCTGGCGGATGCTGAACTTAAATTATATATCGCCCACCTGCAATTTGCCAAATCCTGTGACTCAGTCTCTCTCTATGACCAACTTGGGAAGTTGCACAGTATTGCTTCAGCTTTTGCTCAAGAAGTAAGAACAAAGCTGAACAAGAAATTCTGATGGCTCTTATGCTTTACGCAAACAAATTATTACATATATTACTTGTATAGAACAGCAAAACAAAAATATATATCTAAATAGTTTCTTGCTTTAGTTCTTAAATGAAAAAACTGAATAATCTGTTATTTCAATAAGTATATTCTAAATTAAATTGAAAACATCTTCCAATAGTTTCATTTTGCTTATATGTTTAGAAACAGATTATGTTATGCTGTATGTAGTGGAAATAAGATCAGTAGTAATAAATATTTTTATAAAAGGCAGGATCTATTTTTATTTGTAAATTTTGAAAGATTTTTTGCTAATTCTTTTTCTATAAATTTAACTGCATAATCAAATGGAGTCACACTGATTTTATGTAGGCACTCTTATTTTTAATAACCACTTCCTTAAAAGATTGCAAATATTTTCTTATAAAATACAATTGCTTTCAAATTTAATAACAAAAAAAGATTTTTAGAGAAAACATGAATAATAAAGATTTTTATAAGTTGTCTGTGAATAGATATGATAAAACTTCTCCCTTCTATTGCTAACTTTCAAGTTTTTAATAGATTGACATTTTTTTCAATAGACCAATAGCAGTCACAACTTTAACTTTTATTAGAATAATTAATATATAATTTTAAATCAGTTTGTTTACAAATACTTATTTATTTCATAATGTTAGATTTTCAATTATCATTTAAAGTAATATAAATAAAATATAACACATAATCCAACGTAATATCTCTTCTTTCGGAGATATTAAGTTGGGTTATAACAATGGAATAAAATTAAAGTTATTGTTTTAGCTGCCATTTTTTATTTAGTTATTTAGTCAATTACTGTCAGACAATTAATTTTACCACCTCTTTTTTTCTTTTTTTGTTGTTGTTTTTGGAAATTGTACTAACATTAAATGATTTGAGATTAAAAATATTTTAAAGAATGTTTTTCAAAAATTGTTCCTTTTGGTTACTTTGAAAATTAATAGCAAAATTCAAAAACATTATGAATTTTTTAACTAATTTATTCCAATAAAATAATTTGATGTTACACATGAGAGGAGTTTTTATTTTATTATGATTTTTGTATTTAACTATCTAATAGTTTTATCAATAATTAGAATTTAATACAAATAAAATTACTAAATACAAATTTTACTAGTTGAATAATTAAAATATTTTAACTCATAGTATGAATGATTTAACAATTTATTTCATAAAATATATTACCAGAATTTTAATTAATTCTTTGAATAAAAAAATATATTTTACTTTAAAAACAAATTTTATCAGGCATCATTTATTTACTTATTTGAAAATATTGATAATATAGAATATGTTAAACATAAATTGAAAACTTTTATAAATTTCTGATTCATAAATTTATATATATATAT